AAATGCGCCAAAATTCTCACAGGGGTTTTTCAACATAACGGACTTCCTGTTGGGGTTAGGACTTGGTACTGATTGACTTTTTTGTGCGTCCTGACCTGCTACACATGCCCAGCGAATCTTGTAGCTGTAGGTGAAACGACCATCGGACAAGAGTCAGTTGAATGCAAAAAACACTGCGAAAATGGACAAAATGGCCATTGATCGAAATTGGACGGGCCACCATTTCCAAACCGGGCCTCATCTGCGAAGCGTTTGAAGAACTTTTAGTCAACACGTCCTGTAGTTTGTAGGAGGAGTTCGATTTAGAAAATGGCCAAAAATGGCCATTTTTGAGCAAAAATGGCCCGGCATGGTCGCCGTTTTTCCAACATGGCGGATTTTCTGTTGAGTTCACAGAAACATGCTAATGGACTTTTTTGTGCGCCACAAGTTGTTACATATGTGTGGCGAATGCCGTAGTTGTAGGTGAAAGTCCACTGTTGATGGTATCTCATGTGGTAGTGCTGATCACATTTTAAATTAATTGCACAGTGAAAATGTGCCTAAAAAACATCTGTCTCTGTATTTGTCAGGAAAAATAGCAAATTGATGTATTTGTTTAGCCCTAATGCTAATTAGTAATATTAACATGATCCATGGACTATTTTTTAGTGCGTCCTTTTATAAAAAACAATTGTTCTAAATTACACTGTAAACAAAGTATTTATCCTAAGCTTGTTGGTTCTCTTTAGGCAATTTTCATCATTTGTTTCCAACCTCGCTCTTCTTTTTCCAGTGACATCACCGAGGAGGACCTGGAGGAGGCGGGAGTGCTCGACCCCGCCCACAAGCGAATCCTGCTGGAGAGCCTCAGGCAGCAGCAACAACAGCAGCAGCAGAAATAAACTATATCAAACTGGTCTATGACTGGTCCACACCAGCCTGGAACCACACCAGGTCCCAAGAGGCCAAATCTCAGTTGAACTGAACCCAACTGAGCTGGAACGTGCCAATTGATGCCAGACTGTGCCTTCAGAGAGAATTTGCACTCCATTTGTTCTTTCAAAAAAGAAAAAAACACTTGTTGAACCAACGTCCTTTTTTTTTTCACATGTACTGTATGTGTGTTGTCACTGTCATAGATGTGGCCTTATTTAATGATAAACATTTCAGTCCTTCGAGCATCACTACATAACCCTCGGCTTTAAATCCAGACACATTTAGAGATTCAACTCGTGTAGAGCAGCCGACGTTTTGATGCTGAGTCATGTGTGTCCGATGTGACCAGTAGCTTCGAGGAAAGCATTTAGAGCGTGCTCTTCTTTTCTTTGTCCTGAGAAACTTTAACTGAGGAGTGACGACGTTTGAGACTCCTCAAGGGTGGGACGTTTAAGTTTAAAGCAAAATGAAAAAGAGGGCTTTTTTGAGGGAAGCAGAGCCTTGAAAAACACACTGCCCGTGTTTTGCTTAACAACACTGTGTTCTCTGAGTCTCAGGTTTTTCCCCACTCATGGCCACATTTGGGCAACTGCGGGAATCATTAGCGTGCACTCAAGAGTAATAGCAGCCCACAGCTCGGTCAGAGGAGCCCTTTCTCTTCTGTGATGGACGCAAACAGGATGTGGTGACAGGAAAGAAGCTAGCAGGCCAGGCTGGAGTGAGCTAAACTCACATGTTGCAGATTGTTTGTGGGTCTCTGCTCTTTAAACGGTGGCCTGTGCTGTCCGAGTGTCTCAGCATGTATTTATGGTTTTGTTTTATTTTCTGATGATAAAGGGAATATTGAGCAAATCAACCAAATCAAACCTTTTCGAGCTAAAGTGCATATTTCACCTTGCCGCAACATTTAACAGACTGCCGTCGACTTTTGACGTCAATTTGCTGGTGTGTCATTTGTTCTCACTTGACAATTGAACCCTTTTTCTGACACTTCCATGCTGTGATACGTTGGTTATATTCTTTAAAGTATTCTCACGCATAACTTGGCACAACCAGCATTCAGTATATTAGTCAATAAATTAAGTAGATAAGGTATACATGTGGCAATAAAGGCTGCATCAAGGGGAAATATGACTTTAAAGATTTAAAAACGTACACTTCTCATGCTCACAATTTCATTTGTCTGAGGACGTTAAATCTCAATTCACAGAAGACGTGACCCAGATTTGATTGGCGTTACATCACTTTTTTTTTTTTTTTTTCTGTACTCAATTCATTTTAAATTGTCTAAATGAAGCAGTGTTCAGGGAATTGGTTAACATAGCCAAATAGATAAACTCATGGTTAACATTTAACGAGCCATTGCCATTTGTCACCAAAAAATTATTTTTTTGTCTGTAATATTTCGTCGATCCGATTCGGTTCTATTGTTACATTAGTGGAGTTTTAGGATGATGATATATTTCATACACACAGAACAAGATGTCGCCTCTTGTAACACATTATAAAAGTCAGGACAGATGTGAGCCACTGTGTTTCCTGATATAGCCAGCAGGTGGAGCTGCTACTCCACTAACTCCTATCAGTTGATTAACTTCTGAGATGGTGGTGTGTTTCTTATATCTTGTTTCTAAGCAGTTAAAAATCTGATCTGTCAGTTTTAAAACTGATTGTGTTTGTTCATAATTTAAATCCTCTTCTGTTCACGGGACTAGAAGAGAGGGTTCATCTGGACATGACTGATGGATTTCTTTTATCAGGCTGGATCACACTAAACAATTTCTTCTCTTAAGCACACAACTTGCTTGTGCTACTAAAATGTGTCTTTTTTTTTTTTTTCTTTTTTTTTGCCACGTCCTAAAAAGTAAATCATTCAACTGATACATATGTGGAGCTAAATATGAACAGAAAACCTTCATTCATGTCTGAAAAAGAGTCTCCATGTCATTACTAAATTTCTATTTGACCCGAGGATTATTTTGCTCACGTACAGCCTTAGACTTTGTGTTAATATGTTGTACAATATGTCTAAACCTTTAACAGCCAATCAACCACAATGCAGAGAATGTGGATCTGCCGTTCAGACGTGTTCAATCTAATGTCTTTTTAAGCCTTTTCAGTGTTCTCAGTGATGTGCGTGAGTGTGTGTGTGATTGTGTTTGCGTGCATGTGTGAAAAAGCCATTGTTGTTTTCTCTGACACTCCATTTTATCTTGTTCCTTCATTTCATGTAGCCTTTTACTTGGGTTGTGTTAAGTTAATGTAAGTTGTTCACCCATGTATTTTTTTTTTTTTTCAATTAAAATCTTAATATCTTTCCTTATTGTATAGAATCACTCATTCTGTTATTCTGTTGTCTACAGGGACAGCTGAAGGGACGAAACAGTTCCGATCCGTGAGCTGTAGACGTGCCTCAGAAAGGGAAAGACTGTACGGTAAAATTAAAATAAGTGACAGTCACTTCAGTTTTTAATTCACCATGATTTCAGGAGCTCATACCTCAGAATTCACAAAAACGGCTTTATGAGCTTCCGTGGTCTGATGTCGCATGTAATACACAAAACTCTCATCATTTTGTCACACACAAGAAAAACCAGATCATTGAACGCGTCAGGTAGTGCCTCCATAATGTAGATTTATTAGAATATTCAGAGTAGTGCTATAACTTCTCATTCGCTAGAGCTTTCTGTCGATTCATAGATTTCATTGACGTGTTGGTCTGTGAGACAGATGCTCTGCAATGGAAATAGATCTGTAAAGCAAAAAAAAAAAAAAAAGCTACCTAGTATTTATATTACTAATTACAGAATTTACAGTCACAAAATTTTATGGAGCAGTTCAAATAAATGTAGGTTTGTCACTGACATAATAAAAAATATTAATAAATACATGTTTTTGTCCCCCCCATTTGAGTAGATTTCTGGAGTAAAACCTCCCTCTGAAATTGGTGTTGTTTCAGAGATTTTTAACAAATTGAAACAAGTGATTCACAAGCAACTTCGCAAGGTGATAGAATGTACAAACTGTTGCCTTTTTGCAAAAGAAAATGGGTGCGAACAGGAACATAATCAGGATATAAATGAACATACAGTGGAAAACTCCATCTCGGTATACTTGCCAGCCTTTGACCAGCTTGTTTGGTGTGTTAGAGTTAATAAAGCTGGGCTGGGGAAAAAAAAAAAAGTCAGAGTGAGTTGGAAGTCTGCTCGAGCTAAACATTTGTTCCCATCAACTGAGCAGGAGAATCATCATAAAACTCTTCAGTTGGTAGTTGAAGTGAGAAACCAGATGCAGTACAATGACGGTATTGGTTATAAAGGGACTGTGTGGGCTCCACTCTGCTCATCTTCTCTCTCCACCCAAAGAACAGAACCGGAAACTGCGGTAGATGTGAACTAAACATGGATTCAAACACCTGAATTTCTCAGTTTTTTTTCCCCCTTGCAGATTTTTACCAAAGTGAATGGATAGAGGAAGGCATGACGGGACATGAAGTGTAGAAGGGGATGAGTGTGTGGGAGTCTTGATACAGTAAAGGAGGAGGAGGGGATGAAGTGAACTGGGGTGGTGTGTTGTCTGGACCCGGCTGCTCTTAATTGGATTTCGGGGTGCCCCACTCTGCTCGGCAAAGAGATTTAGGGGGGGACCCTGTTCCTTCTTGGGGAAGCCTGTGTGTCGGGGGGGCTTAGAGGAAGTTGTGCTTGAGGGGCAAAAGTTTGCTTGTTTTGTTTCCCCAGCAGAGACTGGAGCGTGATGTTTAGATTTCTGATTTAAGCTCGTACCTGACCGCCATGCTCATCAGAGCTGCTGCCATGCACAAAGGGGTTTGTTGCAATGCAGTGAGTGTGGGAATGTGAGACGGGAAAGAGAGCATGAATGTGTGTATGCATGTCTGATCCAGCTGTACACAAAACATCCTTTTGACGCTGTATAGTTCAACATCTTTCATTAAGAGTTTTAGTTTTATCTGAGAAAGAGGGTTTTGTGGTCAAACTGTGTGAACGACTCTGCTTAGAGGGTGAGAGTGAAATCATCGCTGTCCATGTCCAGGAAGGGTTTTGCAGGTAAAGTGTTGCATAATATTTTAGGGTGAGAAACAGTGACCAGACCTGTTATTTTATTATCTGAGCTTGGAAACAGTTTGACAGGACAGTTTTTCAGGGAAGAACCGAGGGGCCTCGCTGAACTACAGCAGACTACACCAGTGAATTCAGCATTATAATGGGAAAGCCTTGACTCTCCACAAAAGCTAGAAACTCCTCTCTGTTCCAGTTTGTGTCTGGTTTGCTCTTTCTCTGTGCTTCAGAACAGATTTGTCTTGATGGTGGGATTGGGTTTTCTGTGGAAGGAGGACAGGACTCCGGCAAAGGGTCCGGTCATACTGTCCGCCGGCTGCCAGGCCTTCAGAATCTCCTGAGTCTGGGCAGCAGGCTGAGCCACGGCCGGGTTGGACGGGCCCAGGCTGGACCAGCTGGGAGGCTTCAGCCCTTGGAGAACCGGAGAGCTGGAGGTGTTGACGTAGCCGCTGTTGGCCGGAGCTGGACTGGGGCTCAGGCTGGCAGGGCTGCCCAGGTTTCCGTTGGCTGAGCCCGGCAGGGAGGCCGTGCTGTCAGGTGTGGGGCTGCAGGTGGACTCCTTTGACTCATCGTCATCTGATGAAGACCTCGGCTCTCCGCCCTTCTTCCCCCCAGAGCTGCTGTTGCTGTTGCTGCCTGTGGTGCCACCAGAGTTGTTGGCTTTGGCATTGGCTGCACGCTCCTGCTTGCGAAATTTGGCACGCCTGTTCTGAAACCACACCTGTCAGACACACAGAGGTAACGATTATGTTTCATTAAAGATTCAAGATAGATGGATAGACATGTAGAAGGATGGATGGATAGAAGCAGTTATATATTCATGTTAGATGACACAACATTCATTTCATTTGGTGAATCTGTGCAGCAGATTTAAAGCCTGTTCCTCTCACCTGGACCCGGGCCTCGGTCAGGTCTATCTTCAGCGCCAGCTCCTCACGGGTGTAGATGTCCGGGTAGTGCGTCTCTGCGAACACTCGCTCCAGCTCCTTCAGCTGGGAGCTGGTGAAGGTGGTCCTGATGCGCCTCTGCTTCCTCTTCTCGTTCAGGCCGGAGGGGTCCGAGAAGAACTTGTAAGGGACTGACGGGAAATAATTGTATCGGTTTAGTGGTCGAAAAGCAAAATGTATTATGGCCTCACTGACGCTTTAACATTGCAGCGGCCTTGGAATAAAATGACAAATACGCAGAGAGGCCGTGCGTAAAAGAACAGCGATCCATCTGGCTTTGACGCACATTTAAAATAAAACAATTTTAAACGTCGATAAATGATTCTCTTTTTTTTTTTCGTCAAAAAGAAACTGCTGTAACGTAAGTGGTTGAAAGGAGGCGGATTAATTGACTGATTGCGTTCAGAGCCAATCAGAAATGACAAAACAGTTAAATATTAATGGTTAATTTCTAACAAAATGTTGAGAAAGAAATATCCAGGAATCGTTTACTTCCATGTTTTAAATTGCTGTTGTAATTACAATATTTTTTCTCTAATGTTATGATAAATATAAATATAATAAAATTATAAATGAGAGTTGGGGCCTTTGTTATACGATTGAAAAAGCTGCTAAAATGACTCAATCATAAACATAAAACCAAAACATTGAGGCTGTTTATTTAGCGATTTTTTTTTAACAGTTTCGCAATAAACATGCAGCCTACATGCATAGTTGAGATAGAAATGTCACAATGCACAATACAAGTGGTGGAATTTCTGTTTAAGAATGTCACAATCCACAGAAACTATAGATTATCACTGCAAGGAATACGAATAAATTGGAAGGCCTGTTGTCTTGAAATGTTCCATTTGATTTAACATAATTTAGGATGCAATTATGGTTGTAAAACAAATGACGAATTATGTGTCTGTTACGGGTCTGCTATTATTGTTACATACAATTATTCTTATAATATTAATCAGATCCCTGATTTATTACATATTGGTGCATGATGCAAATATGCCAAACTTCACCTTTAATTTTTATAGATTTTTTTTATGTTTTTTGCTTTTGAGCGAATTTGATAATTTATGGCTTTGCACTGATTTTGCATTTAAATGTTTATTTCCATAAATTAAAGTTTACAGCGATTTGACACTAAAGAGAATCCTGTCTATTAAAATAAACACAATTCAGATCTAGGCCTGTAATTTTATGGGTGATTATGACATCGATAACAAACAGCACAGATGACAGTTAATTTTTTTTTTTTCGCATTTCATGTACAAAACCTAAAATGATTGAAACAAGACGCAAATCCTATAATTGATTCTTTCCTCTTGTAATGTTTCTTTAGATTCGTGTGGCCCTTCAGAGGAGAATAAGCAGATGTGTGAGTACCTGAGGAGTAGGGAGTGGGCTGGTGCTCCCGCAGGGCTCCCAGGGTGCAGCTGGCCGTGCTGAGCGGAGTGCAGCCCGGGTTGGAGAAAGGTCCGCTCCGGATCGGGTTGTACTGGAAGGAGCTGGCCTGGCTGCAGGAGCTGAAGTCCGCGTAGGCCGACGCTTCCATGGCCGCCATGCAGGAGTCATAGGAGTTCAGGTAGGAGTAATCCATCTTATACATGGAGGTTCAGCCGGTGCGAACACCGGACTGCAAAAACACGAAGGGGTTGAACTGTGAGTGAGAGAAGGTTCAGGTTGAGTCTGCGGCTGCTTTCACACCGACACTTTCACAGTTTCTCTCCGGAATCTCCAAACTCAGCTCGCTGCTTCCTCCCACCAAACTTTCTGGTTTATATCTCGCTGCTGGTTCTCCCGGGTAGTAATCCAGATGTTTGGTTTTTTTTCTGTGCAGCTGCAGCTCCTCTCTCCTGCTCTCTCAGTGTGCGTGTGTGTGTCTGTGTGTGTGTGTTACAGTGTGTGTTTGTGTGTCCGTCTCTTCCTCTGGACTGCAGCTCGCTCTGCGCTCGCGCTCCGTTTGACAGCGCTGCTGCGGCTCGCGCGGTGTTTATAATAAACTTGGCAGGGCGCGAGACAATAGCGAGGCGGTGGTCTAGTTTCCATGACAATAGCAGCAGTGAGTGAGCGTGGACACGGACGGCCCCCCTCCCCTCCCTCCTTCCACCGCTCTCCGCACCGCCCACGCGGTCCACAGCATCGCGAGCTGCATGGCAGGTGTCAGCAGAGTTAAATGATCATACTGGAAAAAAGAAATAAATAGCGAATTCTTCATTTAAAATCAGTTACAATCTGCATGCATCCATTATCGGACCATTTCAAATTCTAGTGATCAGAATCAGAAGTCAAGTCATTATGTTCCTTTTACGTGTAGCTACGCTTACTACGAGCTTAATCAGCTTGTAAACTTAACAAATCGCATGTAAGGAGCCTTTTCAACCAGGACACATACTTCTTAGCTTTATAGGCTGATATTAAAGAGACGAGTCAGCGACCATTCAAGTCTCTGAGCCATGAAGTAATCAGCTGATCGCTAGAAATGCTCAGGCCTACAAACCACATGTGGTTTGTAAAGCTTCTTTGTGGTCTTTTAAATAGCATGCCTTTTGGGATTGCAGCTAGAATATGACTAACTTTAGGTTAAATATGGCACAAGGCCTGTAAGCAGGAACAGATTTTTTTTTAAAGTGAAGATAAATAAAGCAGTCTTCATAATGAATCAAAAATGGTCCGATAATGGAAAGACACACTCAGGACAGACATCCGTTCGCAGTTTTCTGAAACTTAACGATTATTCAGTGACATTACATGCATAATTAGTTTAGACCAAATAGTATTCCATGTGACTGAAGTGCGCCTATAATGCACAAGATTCAGCCCCCAAATAACGCTCCATCTCCGGTCAATACCGTTCCACTGCCTCTCCAACGACTGGCAGAGACAACCGCAGTTCAGCCACACGAGTCTTTATGTGAGGGAAAACGTCCAGATGTGACGGTGATTGCCGAGATTAAAAGCTTTGATTTGATTCCGATCACTTTTACGGAGATGTCACCAGAGTGAGCGTCAGTTTGATGTATAGGACGAGAGAGAGGCAAGTGGCTGCGGAGACGATCGAGCAACCACGACAGGCTAACCATAAACGCATTGACGCTTCATAAATTGGTTTAAGTTTATTGTTCGGTGTCATACAATGTGATAAGTCATATCCCACACGGCCCCCCATCACACACACACACGCTCTCACACGCACACCGGCAGGCGGTCGTGCGCTTCGTGCGGTCTCCAAAACAAAAAAACAAAAAAAAAAACTCCAACGGCAACTGCTTGCTGCTTTTCCGACTTTGCTCATGAAATTAACAGGCTTTTTATTAGCGGATAAATTTCACCAAATAATATAATCCACAAACTAAAATTACGTTGTGCGTGCACGCCAGAAATTAATTAAGTTTGGTCCGTGTGCCCGCGCGTAAAATGCGTAATAGAGCCCAAAGTGCGCGCTCTTATCTCAGCTTGACCAGAGGCTGCATGATGATGCCGCTTAATGACATTAACCCCGCCACACACGCGCATGCGTGCAATTGCTACTCTGTGCGCACTTAAACTACAAATAAAATAATACGATTTTAGAGCGTTTATTATGTGGTCGGTGTGGAGTCGGTGGGTGTTTGGGGCGGGGCGGCACGCGGTGCTGTGATGCTGCAGATTTCAAGTGATCTGTCTATTTCTGTTTGTTTTTTTTTTGTTTTTTTTTTTTAAATATATATGGTACTAATAACAACTACTTCATCGTGCTCAGAAAGCACACTTTTACGTTACAAGTGGCCTCAAAAACATGGATTTCACACATAAATTTACCTCCAAACACATCATGGTTTTGGTGCCCTCCTCTCCATTAACAATGACAAATACTCAGCTCCCTTTGCTTTATTTAAGTGTTTCAACCCCAGAAAAAAATAGGCTTTATAGATGCTGCATGCCATAAAAATACAGCACAGGTCAGCTCACTATCTTGTGCTATTTATTGTGTTGTGTCCAGCCCATATGGCCGTAAAGACACTAAAGTACAGTAGCAAACATTTTCTGTCCCAAATTCTTCTAATAAAATCACCACAAGGTTCTTTTCCTCAATCTGTGAACTTGTAAAAATGGCTGCTGCTGCTACAATTCACCCCCCTATACACATCCCAGTCTTTAGGCCACTTAAATAAATATTCTACCATATATAAACCTATTGTGATTTTTTTTTTGGATTCCACATGAACCAGTCCGCTCCCAGGCCGCTCCCGTCTGTTTGCGCGCCCTCGTCCCCGTCTGCTGGGTTCAGAGGTGAGTTTACCGAGAAACTTAAACTGTTTCAAAGTTAAACTCTCCAGGCCGTTTCTGCCTCCCCTCTTTAAAAAAAAAAAAAAAAAAAAAGAGCAGCCAGGAGCGACCCTAGCTCTCCCGCTTTTAAGCATTTAAACTTTAATCCCTTCAAAGAAGGGACCGGTCTCTTCCAGGCCACTAATCCGCCCTATAGTGCTCCGGCGCAGGGGGAGACTTCTCCTCTGCGGAGGCTTTAACTTTGGACTTTTACATTCATGGGGCGATTTGACGGAAACAGTAACGGGGAGCTTTGGCATTCATGGCGTCTGAGTCAACAGAGAGGGACACAATGGTCCCCTAGAGGCTCCTGAGGGCCCCTGAGAGAGGAACCCCGACCACAGGGATTATAGGCCAGTGGGTTATTAGGGGAAACCTAACGTAACAGGCTGGTCGTTTGTAATCAGAGGTATGATTGAGTAATTCTTTTTAAGCATCATTTTGTGTGGCATTGTCCAGTATTAAAACATCAGATGATGAAGGCAGGAGACAAAAACTGTAGACCATTAAACAATGAACCACAATGGAAACACTGACAGAAAGCAGAGGCCTGTAGTTATAATAAGGCAAAATGTAAAATACATAACAACACTGTCTGATGTGATTTCTCTGTGTTTTGTAGCTAAATTTCCATTGATTACTGAATGTAGACACTCTGCTTAAACACCACTCTCACCTGTTTAATAACCCTATAAATAAGCACACCTCTTTATAGCCTAATATTTGGTTTAATATGTACATTTCTATGTACATTCTCTCCAAAAATGACTAAACGTTTTAGCTGACTGACACTGATTTTCTTCTGCGCTGTAATCACACGTATTTGATATTCCAGGGCCTGATCAAACTGCACCAGGCCTTTTATTCAGACCTCATTAATTGTCCTGTCTGCCCTCCATCCGAAAGGGTCATGATCTGTGGAGAAATTAAATTCTCCACGTTCGTTCCTTCCCCTTGCTCCCATCTCTCCTGCAGCTGTAATTGTTTGTGATGGTCTTCCAGCCCAAACACTGGAGACCTGCGGGGGCTGCATGCAGATCGGCCTTTAACGAAGCAGGCGGCGGGAGAACTGGTGACCGCTGTCTGTGATGGATGGTCCTCATGGAGAAGACGGGAGAGGTGTATGGATAGAGACAGGGCAGAAGGGATGAGTGAAGGATGGGACACTGGTTTTGATGAAAAGCCACGCGGGAGGCCCAGTCCGGTTTGTGTCCAGTGACACGCGGTGGTGGTCTGAAATCTGAGTGAGGCTGTCAGTCAGGGAGGCAGAGAGAGAGACTGCCAGGTCCATCCATCACCGAGGCTCAAAGAAGAGCATGTCCCGTGCGCTCAAAGCCGTTTTCTTGCTTCAGACTCAGGGAGATATTGATTGTCAGGTCTGGATATTAACCTCCTCTTTGTGGAGCTTTGTGAAACGCGCGGATTAATGCGCAAAAGATTACAGGAGTTGCTCTAATAAAGTCTGTGCCAATACGCAAAAAGTCGATTGAACACGACATGCTTTGAGCGTGCAACTGATAGCTGCTGCTGTTGGATTAAAATAGGCAATAACTGAGGAAAAAAACAAAGCAGGCAGAGGCCTACATTTGAGTGTTTTAGTGTGTCCTCTGTAAGGAATAACCCTCCATCACTGCCTGATTCCGTCTGAAATTACATTTAAGTGAATGTGACGGTTTTTTTTTCTTTAGCAACGGTTAGAATAGCTGCAGGATTTTAAATAAACACCCACATTTCTGCGTTTAAATTAATATAATAAGGGAAGTTAGCCAAGGTTATAAATGACAGTCCAATTTTCAAAAGCATATTGCTGTTTTTTAAATCATGATTTTAATCTCTTAATTATTATCAGGAGTGTATATATATATATATATATATATATTACAGGCAGAATGTTTTAAAATGTGTGTATTGTCTCAATTTTTAAAATTTGCTTTGATTTATGTGGCAATATTAGACCTACAACCATTCCAGGTAAATAGGATGTGGACAGCAGAAACCGTGTACAGATCATGTCTGTGGTGCATCGCCTTATAAATGAGTCCTCTAGTGCAGGTTTCACTATCACTTGTGCGTATTTTTGTTGTGCGCAAAATACGCAGCAGCTGATTGAGCTCCTCTCTCTCTGCGTCTCTCACTGACACATTCAGGTCGTCCCCCTCATCACATAGCACGTGTCCATAATGTTTATTTGTCAATAGTTCATATTACTAACAGTCAGTCTATAGTTGTGTTATTTGTAAAGTAGCCAGACTTCGTTTCCATTTGTTCCAACTCCATCCTCAGATCTGACTGCTGCCTGCG